GGTAAATGAATCTATGGCAACTTTGAAGACATTCAACGGAAAGCCAAGACAAATGTATTTAATTTTATTTAAAAATAAAGAAATCTTGGTGTTTATTAGGATGATATGAACACTGTTATAAAAAATTTATGGTACATTAAGAAAATATATATGTTTTGATGAGTATGACAAACAAAATATTAGGGAAAAAATAAGAAACGTCTTTTAGAAATGGCAACTGGCAGGAAGGAAATAGGCTATGTTTCACAAGAAAGGTCCACAACTGTTTCATCCTGTCGAACTTTAAGATGCAGGGTATTTTGACGAGGGATTGTCTACAAAGAGACTATTCATCTTTTGTACATAGAGGTCACAATCAATCTCACTCATTAAATGTCAAATTGGATGGCATGGGGTGAGTCACAAAGTCCAAAATATTTTTTTTGGGAATTGTAGCTATTCAATGACACTCTTACAACCACCAATTGTGAAATTTAAGGGACAATAATGATTGTGACCTTTATATATAAAAGATAAATGGTCCCTTTGTCGACAATCCCTTTTGGTGAACACTACTACTCAATCGTAACCAACAGTCGAATGGTTGTAAAAACGTTTCCTAGAAAATTCATAGAAATCTTTCTAATGAAAGATTCCCAAAATGGTATCATAACATAGTGAAATGAAGAGGATGTCAAACATTTGAAGGGATCGATAGAGTATAGGACTGGCAACGAGCGTGGGCCTACCTGCAACCCTGGCCTGAGCTAGGCCTAGCCTAGATACGGCCAAGGGTGCCTTGGCCCGAACCAGGTAGGGACCTACAAGACTCAAATATTGAACAGTGAAAAAATAAGGACAAAAAGGGTCCTGGTTGAGGCAGCACTCTCCTGGCCCTTGTCAGGCTCAACCAGGCCATCAGGTTGAGGTAGCCGCCACATTTTCTGGTTCAGGGCCTACCTTTTCAAGGTGCAAGATGCCAAATCGAGTATTATGAACTTCACTCCCAGTTTCCTACGACCATTTCCACACTACCCGTATAGTTTTGAAAGGGTTTGTCATCATGAATGATAATTGCAAAAAACACATACACGCATAGATACACACACAGCATGAACATGAAACACACAAAAGTGAAAGATAATCATAGTATTTGCATGCCCATTAAGAACCAAATCCCATCAATGCAGAACTGAAAGCCAAGGAGGAAATGGTATAAGAGGGAATCATTATAACGCATGCCAATCTAGGGCCATACCGCATCCATGAAGAGTTGAATCCCATGGATAAACCATTGGTTGAAAGCCTCATAAAGAATGTTGAGTAAAGCTCATAAAAGCAATGTAGGTAAAGATTCAAAGCACAAACATTGGCTGAAGCCATAGTTTCAAAAGGCGTTAGGCGGCTCCTAGGTGGTCTAGGGGGTCCAAGCTGCCCAATGCCTAGGCGGGCGCCCAGAACCTGAGCGGCCCAGTTGAATCCAAAAAGGATTCTACAGCTATATATTGTATAAAATATAAGAATTAGGTATTTATGGTACATCAGAATTCAAAGTATACTACACATTAGCACGCACTCCATAAACATAACCATAAGTCGGTTCATATCTAATTAAAACTTAAAATTTACCAACCAAATTACCAAACCAAAGTTACCAAATATCAAACCAGTGGAACTACAAATCCATTATCGACAAGACCACAATACAAAACCAAGATGAAGAAAACTAAAAGTAAAAGTAATACTTAAATACTCAAAAGAATCTTCAATAGTTCAATCAATGTTCAAAGTTTAATCATTATTCAACATTCATCATTCATCGTCAGAAAAAGTAGGGTCAACTGCATTTGCATCAAATTCATCGTCATTGGAGTCGGCACCCCCTCAACATATTGGTCGTCCTCCACCGTCTCTTTTGAATCTGTCTCTTCTTCCTCTACCCTCGTCCTCTGTGCGGAAGATCTAATGGCCCTAGGAGGGTCAGCTGATGTCCCTGAAGCATCCATGACCATGTCCCATGTCAATCCTTCATGCCCCTCGACCTCATTATCATCAACTAACCACTCCATAGCATTGTCCATATTTTTTTATCTGATGGGGTCTCTCTTATGTCTCTTAGCAAACCTGTCATCCAAGAATCGATTATACTTGATATAGACTAGGTCATTGAGCCTCTTTGATTCAAGCATGTTCTTTATCTTTGTATGAATCTAACAAAATCAAATGAAACTAATTAAAATCTATGGTTCATGTATTATTAATACAATTATACAAATTACCTTTACAGCCTTACCCTTTCAAAAGTACTCCAATTGCACTCACAACCGGATGAAGAAGTGGTAAGGTTTAAGATCCAAATGACCAACTTTTGTAAATTTGGAGAACTACACCCATGTTGGCTCCACCAATTGGATGCAAAGATATAGGATAAAATCATAAATAAATAATAGAATTATAAAAATGAAATTTGATTACTTGAACTTGATGAACTTAAGAATATTATTACTACCTGGATCAATTTTGGTCATTTACCTCATCACCATTGGACTCCCAAAAGACTTTAATGAGCACTTGTAATTTATCAGCTCATCAACACATATAATATCCTGAATATCAGGATCAGGGACTAACACATCTACACACTTATTAAATCCAGTCATAATTGTGTTATTTTGTGTATATCCATGTCAACATTAAAAAAACTGAGTTCCAATAATAACCAGCTGCATTCAATGGATGATGTAGCTGTCTATCCCACTTCTCATCAATCATCTCCCAAACAGGCTTGTAACGGTTCTCATCATCATCAAAATTTTGGGTTAACTCTCTTTTGCATTTCTCCATAATCTCATATATGTAGCCCATAGAGACCTTATAATTATCAACCATGCGAAGGACTTTGACAAGAGGAGAAAATACCTTAAGAGCGCCCTTCACCCCTCGCCAAAAAGCCTTATAAAGGATAATATCTCCCACCTTTTTCCCAACCTGATCCTTAGACCACTTGCATGCTCTCCAGTCATCCGAGGTAAACATCTGCCTCAACTGCACTCTCCTCGAATATATGTTATCTAAGCATAAGTACTAGGTCGCAAATCTCGTGGCCCTAGGCCCCATAATCTCTTTCTTCTTTGTAAATCTATGCATCATGCTGCGGGTGAGATGGCAGCTATAAATGAAATTTGTAACTGACTTTGCCTTCTTCACTGGACCTGATATCT